GCAGGCGGTGCTGTGCCAATGTGGTGACTCCGGTGCTGCGGCCAGGGACAGCTCTCCTCTCGCCCCCAGCTCTCCTTCTCCCCATGAGGTAGAAGTGGGCGCTGGCGGTGTGGCAGCCATCCCGATGGCGACCTCCTGCGGGGACACTGGCTGGCGGAAGATGAGTTCATCTTTGAGCACGTGGGCCTCACCCAGGACGTGGGCACCACTAGGTTTCTGATCTGCGCGCAGTGTGAACTTGGACCCATGGGTTGGCGCTGCTGTCTCGAGAACACTTTCTAGGGGGCCTGGGAATGGCTTTCTCAGGAGCAAATGAAGGGAGGGGCCCTCATCTCCACTCCCAACTGTACAAACCAGCCCCCACAAGGGCTGGCACTTCAGCTGACCGAATTGTTCTGCACCTTCTCTGTCCATGAGGAGTCCCAGCGGGTCCCACCGGTGGCACACACACAGGAGTGAGCCCCTCTTGCTTTCCATCACATCTCACCTCCCCCCAGGTGTGGGACAGGACAAACATTTCTCCCCCCTCGCGCCTCTGCTCTGGCTCCATTTTGCCTGGAACTTCTTGGTCTAGCCACCATGACACATGTCAAGTGATGCTCCTGTGCTCTTGTTTGATACGCCGAGATTTTCCCCTCTTAAGACAGCACACAGGTGTGTGAGAGGCACTGCTGTCTGGCTAACCCCGCAGCTACAGTATTGAAACCACTCATCAGAGACACAGCACTTGGGCACACCTCCAGCCCCGGGCTTCAGAGCTGCTTCTCCAGGCTGGAAGTGACTGTTGATTGTTCAGATGAACTCTGCCCCTTCCTTTCAAATCCCAATGAGGTTTCTCTATAGTAACTTCTGACTGCTCTACCCGGAAGTTGAAAACTGGGTTCTCAACCCTATCTGGTAGTCGATCCAAATTACACAAGCGCTTACAGTTCCCGCTCATCTGAACAGGTAACTGTTTTCCTTTGTTCTTGGGAAAGAGTTCTTGGAAGGACAGGATCATCAATCACTAAACCCATCAGCAATAGCTGCGCCCATGGGCTATGAGGGTTTGGGTTCATTTGGAATCAGGACAGGGTGGTTCCAGACTCAGAACAACTCTCTCCCTGGGGCTCTAACAGTGGGGTGTTATCATGATCACTTGTTTAAGTGACATGATTTCCAGTAGCTCTGTCCATTCTCTTCTGAAGTGACTCACCTTCTTATTAAGGAATCCCGAAAACCATGCTTCCACGGTCCTCTAAGTTTCGAGAGATCTACAATTGATAGAGGACTAAATAAAGACTTTAATATCTTCAGTTAAAAAAAAAAAAAAAAGACTTCCTACAGAGCAGGCAGCCCGCCCAGTCGAAAGGTCAGAGGCTATAAACTGGAAATTCCTGGCAGAAAACAAATCAATCCAAATCCAAATCCAATAAGCATGTGAAGAAAACCAAACCGAAAGCAACCCACTGCAATCAAGACCACTTGACTCACAGCGAGGCTATAGGGCAGAGGGGAACTGCTGCCTGGGGTTCTTGGGACTGTACCTCTTGATAAAAGCATAGAGCCTCCTCTTTCTGCCATGGAGCAGCTGGCAGATTCAAATTCCTGACTGTGTGGCTCAAAGTCCAATACCTAACCTACTACACTACCAGGGCTCCAAGCACATGGGGAGATGGTCGACATCCTTAGTCAGGAGAGAGATGCAACTCAAGAGTCAGCAAGCACATTTCATCCGCCCACTGGACTGGCGGATGTCCCAAAGCGGTGCGGCACTTACAACATCTCCTGTCAACTTGTGAAGGGGTGGGGTCTAGCCTGTCGAAGGTGCTAAATAACTCACAGGAGACGAGATACACACGTAGACGCTCTGCTTGTCTTCCTGCTGACAGCTACATGGAGACCCCTGATGGAACCAGAGCCCTGGAGCTGGAGCAGCCACAGGGAGACCCACTCCACCACTGAGACGCTTCCACCGCCACTGGATCCACTAGACTTTCCACCCTCTGGCCTGTGATCTCCCTGCATTCAGTGTCATTGCATGGCTGCGTGAGTCTGCAGAAGAATTTATGAACTAATATGGACATATGGGCTAATATCAAACGTATGGACTTGATCTGGACTGGGCCTGGATGTTTTCTTAAAGTACAATTGCTCTTGGATATAAAGCTCTCTCTTACACACACATGAGTGTCTATGAATCTGTTTCTCTAGTCCACCCAGACTGACACAACGGGTATTTTATTTATGTCTTTGCTTCTGCCTCCCTCCTGGCTTATTTTTAAGCAAACAGGTGTTCACATACCTGGGAGGCACCAGTTCCACGGCTGAGCACGCATCCGGAACAAACTTTCAGGTGGCCTGTGCATGGTGGTGCAGGCAGGAGTGAGCCCCTGGAAGCGGGAGGGTAGGGTGGGGTGGGGGTGGGGATGGGGAAGGAGGTATCTGAGAGGAGAGGAAGGGATGGGACAGGGACATGAGACAAAGGAAGCACATACATAGGGAAGCACATACAAGAGGCCTTCAAAAAGTTTGTGGGAAAGTGGGATTTTCCCATCAAGTGTTTGAAGCCCCCTGGTGGAGACAAAGAAGCTGCACACCCTCACAGCAGACTGGGAACCATAGAACTGGGCTAGAGAGAGAGCTCGTGCACACACTCACACTCACACACACACTCACACACAGAAAATGGGCCAGTAGTCATGACATGGGTCCAGAGAGGGCCAGACAAGTTGCTGAAGTGAATCATGGAAATCTAAGGTGCACAGGGTGGAGGGTGGGAAGAGCTACTGCTCCCACACCCCTCTGCACACAGGGTGGCTGTGAGGCTCATCTTCCCTCAGAATCAGAGGGGACAGAGCCAGGGACAGGGCCGTGGGAGGGAAAGCCAGGGCCACACAAGCTTTAATCACTTGCACAGCTCCCAACTGGTGTGGGAAAGACCTTGAGGAGAGAAAAGGCAGAGGGGAAGGGAGGGGCTCCCTGCACTGGGGCGTGACAGTGAGCCTGCTGGAACAAGTGGTCAGCAGAGCTAGGACTGCCTGCTAGGCCCTGGGTAGGGGGCTCTGCTGTGTGTGTGTGTGTGTGTGTGTGTGTGTGTGTGTGTGTGTGTGTGTGTGATGTGGGACTTGGTGTGGGACTTTGTGCATGACAGTGTGATCAAGACAGTGTGTGTCAAAGGGTGAGTGTGTGTTCGAGTGTGCCATCTTGTGTGTGAAAGGACTGTGTGTATCTGATGGAGTGTGTTTCCAAGTGTGCACAGGTTGTGTGTGTGTGAAAGAGAGAGAGAGAGAGAGAGAGAGAGAGAGAGAGAGAGATGCCTAGGGTACGGGAAGTCCTCTTAGAATGGGCTTCAGGTTTGCCAACTGGAAAGAATGTAGCAGACCCTCTCCCCATGAACTTGCAATTGTATCTTTACTTTGTTTTCCTTCATCTTGAGGTAGCTCTTTGATTCCCAGGCCTGGAGGTGCCGCAAGGATGCAGCGAGGGAAATATGGGAGAGAGGGAGGCAATGTGTGCCTGTGAAGGAGGAGGGGAGGCGAGAGATCCTGGTCACACCCCAGGTACAACCTGGAGAAAATTCTGTGGCCCCCAGAGCTGGGCCAGCACTGAGGGTGACTCCCCACTGCTCCGTGACCGGCCCCCAACAAACTAGCACTGCTCTTGGGGTGCTTCTGAGTTTGTGAGCCGCTAGCTGGCCAGAGCCTGTCAGCCCATCAGCACAGGGCCAGCAAGAAAGTGCCCTGAGGTCATCGGCCACATAAAAATGAGCAAATACGTTGATGTTGTTTTTCTAGCTGCTTCCGTCCTGTGCTAGGTGAGGGGGGGGTGTCACATTCTCCTCACCCCATCCCACAGCTCAGCTGAGCCCCAGACTGGGTTTTCTATCTGCCCGGGAACCCCTTTTGCCCCAGTCCCACAGACACCTGGACCCACCAGGCTCAAAACAGAATATATATCCCAGGAGTCCTGGTGGCATTGTGGTTAGGTGTTGGGCTGCTAACCTTTGAAAGGTCAGCAGTTTGAAACCACCAGCCCCCCCACCCTAGGAGAAAGATGAGGAGGCTGTACTTCCGTAAAAGAGTTACAGTCTCAGAATTTTACAGGGGGAGTTCTACCCTGTCCGCTAGGGGAGGTCTTTGCAGATGTCACCAAGTTAAGATGAGATCAGACTGAAGGAGCATGCACCTTTCTGGTGGTGTGGTGGGTTACAAGTTGGGCTACGAACCACAAGGTCAGCTGTTCTAAACCAGCTGCTCCGCCGAGAGAGAAAGATGAGGCTTTCTACTCCCTTAAAGAGTGACAGTCTCAGAAAGTCACAGGGGCAGTTCTACCCTGTTTTCTGGGGTCACAATGAGTCGGCATTGATGTGATGGCAGTGAGTTTGGTTTTTGGAGAGGAACCTTAGTCTCCCTCGAGCTTCTACCCCACTTCCTTAGGGTCCTCACAACTTCACAGGCACCCCGTCCAGTCACTTCCATCCAGATGGGAAGTTGCTCAGGGTCCAGCGAAAGTCTGAGTCACAACCTCCCCCTCCCATCCACCCGCCTCATGGGGCCACCGCAGGCCTGGCTGCCCCTCCACTGCTGTGGGGGGCGGTCCCCAGGATCAGGGACCTGAAGCCACAGAAGGGGGTCTGGGGAAGACAGGTGGGGTAAGCAGTCCCTGCCCTCTGCAATCCTTTAATCTCCAAGACACCACAGCCGCCGCCTCCAACAATCGCTGACACTTTCTTTACATTCAGGATAAAATAGGCATGAAATGAATCAATCAATCAATCAATAGGCATGAAATGCCACTTTAAAATACATATTGTAAATTCTCAAAAACCACGGCTTGCGTAACGGGACGCGGGGGTGGGGCTGAGCCACCCTGTGCGGGCGCCGTTTGGAGCGGGTTGTGGGGCCCGCCGGGGCGGTCCCGGGGCGCCCTCCCAGGGACTAGATGCTGGCCCTCCGGGAGGCGGAAGGTCGCGCCGTGCCAGCGCGGTGACTCAGCGCAGGGGCGGGTCCGGGGCGGAGCGACCCTTATAAAGCGCGGGGTCCGCGGGGCCTGAGGCCCAGCTCCGCCATTGTCTGCGTCGCCAGCAGTGAGTGGATCCGCGCGGCGCCTGGGCCCCGGGGGCGGGCGGGGGGACGGGGCACCCCCAACACGGGCAGGGGTCCCTGGGTGCCTGCAGCCGGGCTCCCGGGAGGTCCGGACACTTCCCAGGCGCAGTGGCACCGAGGCCAGTTTTGCAGGGGCCCTGAGAGCTCTAAGCTGGGCGCGAGGCCCCAGGGAGGGCAAGCATTGCACGCCCGCCCCAATACCTTCCTCCCAGGCGCTAATACACTTCTCTTTGTCCCCTGTAGTGCCACCCTACACCATCGTCTACTTCCCCGTTCGAGGTAGGGGACTGTGGGGGTGCAGCATGGTGGGAGCTATGGGGGTGCAGCATGGGCAGGGGCTGTGGGGGGCAGCATGGCAGGGGAGGGCAGCATGGCAGGGCCTGGGGGCTTCATCTCAGGAACCTTAACCTCCTGGGGGATCCAGGCCCATTTTCCCCTCTCCCACATGGCTCTCAGCCTCCTTCCCCAGCGCTGCCCAGAAGCCCGAATGCCTGCAGCCCCCCCTCCCGTGGGCTGTGAGATGTGCTGCCTGAACACCCTCGTGCGGCCCCCCCACCCCGTGTCCCCAGGGCGCTGTGAGGCCATGCGCATGCTGCTGGCTGACCAGGGCCAGAGCTGGAAGGAGGAGGTGGTGACCAAGGAGACTTGGATGCAGGGACAGCTCAAGGCCTCTTGTGTACGTGTCTGAGTGTGCTGGAGTGGGTGGGCAGGACTGGCCCCGGGGCACTACGCTCAGGCCCCCTCACGGATCCATTGCTGTCCCCCTCACCTCCCCCAGCTGTACGGGCAGCTCCCCAAATTCCAGGACGGGGACCTCAGCCTGTACCAGTCCAACGCCATCCTGCGGCACCTGGGCCGCTCCCTGGGTGAGTCCTGGAGGCCTGGGCTGGGCTGAGGTGTGGCAGCCAGTGATCCCGAGCCGCTCTTTCCGCTGGCCACCTGGGTCAAGCTGCCCAGCACTCCTGTGGCCTGGAAAGCCGTGAGGACTCGAGGCCCACCAAGGGTTTAGAACAGGCCCAAGGTCAAGCCTAGTCCTGCCTGCAGTCCCCCTGGCTGTCCCCCACTGAGCCCGGGATCCCATTGCCCCCCCACCCCCCATGCTCTCCCCTCCCCTGCATCCGCTCACCACCAAGCCAAACACGTGCTTATCAGGGGACTGGTCACTGGTTGGTCAAGTGCCCAGTCATGCCACCCGCTCCCACCCCCAGGCCTCTACGGGAAGGACCCTCGGGAGGCGGCGCTGGTGGACGTGGTGAATGACGGCGTGGAGGACCTGCGCTGTAAATACGGCTCCCTCATCTATACCAACTACGTGAGTCCCGGCGTGCACTGCGCTGCGCTGGCAAGAAGCGAGCAAGGGTCGCCAGGCCTTGGCACAGCCTGGGCTGGCCAAACCTGGTGGCAGAGCTCACGTGCTGGACCTCCCTGCCTGGGGACCAGCCACAGACACATTGTCGGCAGTGGCAGAGTAGGCCAAGGACAGGCAGCCTTGACCGTTGTGAGGGAGGTTCGGGGGGCTTCCTGGAGGAGGAGCAGACGACTCAGCCATTCTGGGAGGGAGAGCAGGCTCTTACAGAGGTGCTCTCATCTTTGGGGACCTGGTAACAGGATAGCAGAGACCAGGCATGTGTGCTTTATGTGTGCTTGCATGTGTATGCACAAGCATGTGTATGTGAACATGGATACACGTTTGAGTATGCGCACACCTGTGTGATATGCGTGCATGAATGTCACGAGCACACGAGTGTGCACACAAATATGTGTGCATGTATTTTCAAGTGCTGCATGCATGTGTTTAACCAGGCACACAAGTGGTCGGATGCTTTGGAGCGTGGCTGCATGCATGTTAGACTGTGTGCATGAATGTAACCAGTGTGTTCTTGCACATGCACACATGTGTTTGAATGTGTGAGCATATGTGTACATATGTGTGAGGGTGGGAATGTGGGTGGTATGGTGTGTGCCCTCTCATGGGCAGTGTGGCCATGGGGGAGGGTGAACAGGGCCTGGCTCAGGTGAGAGGTAGGTCTGGAAGGGTCCTTGGAGGGCCAGCTTATCTGGGAAGGCAGACCTGGGTGGAGGAATTAGCTGCCATGGGCAAGGCTGGGTGTGGGCACGAACCCGTCTCGGAACAGACAGAGGGACAGCCGAGGGCTGAGCCCAGCTGGGGTGGACGGCCACCCAAGCTCAATGGTACATATGGCATTTTTTGGACAGGAGGCTGGCAAGGAAGATTACCTGAAGGCACTGCCTGGGCACCTGAAGCCCTTTGAGACCCTGCTGTCCCAGAACAAAGGGGGCCAAGCCTTTATCGTGGGCGACCAGGTGAGCACAGGCCCTGCCTCACCCCTTCTGAGTCACCATCTCAGAGGGAGAACAGGTGTGGTGGCCTTGAGAGCCAGTCAAGGTGGATGCTGACCCAGCCAGTCGGCTCCACTGCTGAAGCCCTCTGGCCCCTCTGCCCACTGAATCCAGCTCCTCTTCCCTCTGCCCACTGAAGCCCCCTGGCCTTTCCGCCCCCTGAAGCCCCTGGCCTTTGTGCCAACTGCTCCTCAGATCTCCTTTGCCGACTACAACCTGCTGGACCTGCTGCTGATCCACCAAGTGCTGGCTCCCAGCTGCCTGGACGCCTTCCCCCTGCTCTCCGCCTACGTGGCACGGCTCAGCGCACGGCCCAAGCTCAAGGCCTTCCTGGCCTCCCCGGAGCACGCCAACCTCCCCATCAACGGCAACGGGAAACAGTGAGGGCCGTGGGAGCCTTGGGTGGCCGTGGGGGCCACCTGCCTGCCTTTCCTGGCCCACCACCAGCCAGTGCTGTCAAGACACTTCCCCTTCGAAGGGACCCCCGTCCAAGAGGGCAGAACTGCTCCCGGGTTTCTCAGGCTGTCAATCTTTATGGAAACCCGACTGCCCCATCTTTCTCCCTTTGGGGAGCTGGTGGGTTTGAACCGCTGAGTTTTCAGGTTAGCACCTGAGTGTGTAACCTGCGGTGCCCCCGGGCTCCTTCTCCTCCCTTTCCTGGAGCAATAAAAGTTGTCTGAGAAGTTGGCTGTGAGCCTTGTTTGTGGTTGGGGCTCTGGGACCTCCTGCTGTCTGGCGGGAATGAGGGACTGGGCGGGGCTTGAACAGGTGGAGCGGCTTTTTGGAAATGGATCCAGGCTGTGTTCAAAAACAGGAAGAGGATTAAAAAAAACAACGGGAGAGAGGCCCCACGTGGCCCAAACCTGGAGGATTCTGGGAATATGCTCTCTGGCCTGGGGCTGCCTGTCAGGG